GGATACTACTGGGCAGGTGTGATACCATATATCCTGATCTGAGTAGTAGGTCCACTGGCGACTTCATAATAATTTTTCAGTTAATTTTTAGCATTTGAGCTGGTTACTTAGAGTATGTACATGTATCTTATGTATTTCCTACTTAACCGTTTATTTGAGAAGATATACAACATATTTTAAAATTGTAAGATCAAATAGAAAAATAAGCACACTAAAAAAGAGGGAATCCTAGGGGTGCTACCTACCATACCAGGAAAAGCCTCTCTGAGAGATAACATTTAAGAGGAAGCCTCAAAAAGAGATAGAAGCAAACTTGTGTTGTTTCAAGGAAGAATGCACCAAGACAGGGAGAGAGGGGACAAAAAATTGAAAGAATCTAAGGTGAGAACACAGGTGGCAGCTTAAAGGACAATAGAAGGACAGCTTGCCCAGAAGAGAGAGTGCATGGGGCTAGCGTTAGGAGAAGAGTTTCCAGTGACTGATGACATAGGGTCCTATAGACCAAAGAAGAGATTCTTTATGTGATGAGAATCCAGGTGGAAATCTTAATGAGGGAGTGTCATAACATGACACTTGTTTCACAGAAATACATTTTGGGTACTCGGTGAGAAGTAGAGAGTAGAAGACAGAGGAGTAGAATAGAAGCAGAGAGACTTCTCAGGAGGCATTTCAGCCACCGTGACACAATTCCTTTTTGAAAATATCCCAAATGATCATTCTCAGATTCCTTTTCCACTATCTTACTTACAGCGCTTAGAATGGTTCATAATATTTCTTCTGCTAGAAAGATATTAACTTTCCAGCCTGATTTCCCATTTTCCCTTTTAAAAATATATTGAATGATAAAATTCCAATTTAAAGATCAAGCGGTCTATAATGACTCGTATTCAAATATTCAAATTCTATGTCAATTTTGTGACATTTCCTTTCAATCAGCTGTATGAGACTTTTCAAAAACCTTTCATGAAATTGATATGTTTAGCCAATTAACTTAATTTCTATGTTGGAATCTTTATGTTTCCCTTCAGATATAAAAAGAGTGTTATCAAATTATCAAGAATTCATCATGACCAGCCAATGAAGCCTCTAGATCGAGCAGTCTTCTGGATCGAGTTTGTCATGCGCCACAAAGGAGCCGAACACCTTCGGGTTGCAGCCCACGACCTCACCTGGTTCCAGTACCACTCTCTGGATGTGGTTGGGTTCCTGCTGGCCTGTGTGGCAACTGCTATATTCCTCATCACAAAATCTTGTCTGTTTTTTTGCCGGATGTTTGCTACAGCAGGAAAAAAGGAAAAAAGGGAATAATCAGATCTAGGCTTCAATCTGCAGTCCCTGAAAGATGGGACTCCTTCAGTTTATTTGAGCGAGAAGAGGTTGTGATTTAAGATTCCCTTCCTCCTGTGACCACTTGTCTTTTCACAATTTAGTTTGTCAAATCAATGCTTGTTTACAAAAAAATTTGATACTTGTTTAAAAGTTAGAAATATTTTATGATGAAGAGAAAAGAAAAACTGGGGGAAAATAAAAAAAAATCAAACACAATATGAGTTTATATAGACATGTACTATTCTAATTTAGAAGTTATACCAAAAGTAGTTGTTAAATTTTACCATTTACATGTTGTACATGAACAGAAGACCATCAAGCTATCCGGTCACAGTATTAATATTGTTTTGTAAATGTTTGGAATTCTTTACTTCATTCTGGTGTAGTACTTGGTAGTTTTAACTTCTGTTGAAAACTACTCAATAATTAGAATTGCATAAAAACAATTACTAGAGAGGGAGGGGGATAGTTGGCCATCTGAGACATGGGTCACCAGATCGTCTAAATAGAAGAATAAGTTTCAACTTATTTGAAGGAAGAAAGGTTCAAGGAAGAGAGCACAGCCCAGGTGAAATATGTGGGAAAGGTACCAGAACCTACCCTTACTGGAGATCACGCGGGAAGAAGTTGTGGAGGAGAACCAAAAAGAGAAAGGTTTTGGCAGAGTCTAACCACTGAGGGACTCAGCGCCTGGTGGAAGAGGCAGGTGGGAGTGTTTACTTTTCCTCCCTTCACATAGGTGGCAGTCTTCCGCCTCCCAATCTGTCGGAGAGCCCTCCTACCCTGACAAATCCGGGCACTGCTGCCATTGCTGAACTGAGGGCTTCTTGGGAGCAGACCACTGGGCTGTGGGCCCATGTAGGGCTCCTTCCCCCACCACATGCTCCATCTGAGATGGCAGGTGCCATAGTGCCTGCACACAGGCCCGGCGCCTCTATCCTGTGGGGGAAGTCACAGCTCCTCAGTCTCCCTTTTACTGGATCCCACACCAACATTCTCAAGAACCCATTTGGACTGAGATAAACTCAAGGGAACAGGGAAATGTGGGAAAGCATCAGTATTCCTGGATTTTTGACCCATAGGACAAGCTGCTGCTAGGGGACTGGGAAGTGCCACAATTGCTTTTTAAGGACAGAGGAAGGCAGAATGCACACTCTCCTGCATGAGAGCTTCTGGCTCATGATGCAAAGTTGTCTGCACCCTTACCAGTAGAGACACGAGTGCAGAGAAGTCTGTGCAGAGAAGACCCTACCCCAGAGCAGAAGCACCACCAGAACCCAAGAAGAAATGTGGTGACAAGATCCTCCCTCTTCCAATGACCCAATTCTGTGTACATAGCTGCCTCAGCTCCCAAGTGTGAGCTGTTGGCCCTGGTGAGCTGTGGGATGGCCAGTTCTAGGCTTGAATGGGGGGGGGGAGTTACATCCCCAGTAGTACTCTGCTCACTGGGCCTGGACTCTGCACAGAGGGTATGGCTCATTTCCCCTTCTTCAAGGGTACGCAGTAGTTTACTAGCAGTCCTGAGCTGGGAATCTCAGGCCTGTGTCTCTACTTTGCTCAGTCCACAGACAGTGTCCCTCCTTTCAGCACTCACTCAGACCACAGCAGCCTTGGGGAATGGTGGGACCTGGAGGAACTGTAGCTCTTCTGGAGCTTGGGCATTTAGGCCAGGCTACTTTCAGCTGAGAAAAGAGTGCAGTATGCCACAAAGTCCCTAAATACAAAGGGGACCAGCTGACCAGCTCCCCACCACTTGGGGCCTTCTCTTCCTCCTCCCCTCTCCTGGCCACTGCTGTACAGGCATTTGCAGCTGAAGGGAAGTTTCCATTCTGCACTGGTGTGTGCTTCACATGGAATGGAAGTAGTTGCCCTGTCTCTAACAGAACACCTATCACACACAGGCTTCCAGGGATCTTGGGACTCCCTTGTATACCTCTTAGAAGCCACAGCAAGTGCTTTTGTATGCCACAAGGTCAAAAGCTTCTGATGTCTGGGCATTTTACATAATCCCACATTTCTTGGAGTTTTTTAAAAATTTCTCTTCACTATATTTTTTTCTTAATTTTTGACTGGATTTATTCAAATTCAGTCTCTCTTCTTTTGAAATGCTTCTGTTCATGTCTTTTGCCCACTTTTTAATAGGGATTGACATTTTCTTGCTGATTTTCATGAGTTATTTGTAGACTTTGGTTATTAGCCCTTTATCGAATGTATAGCATGCAAATATTTTCTCCTATTTTGTAGGTTGTCTACTCATTCAATTAATTATGTCCTTGGCTGTACAGAAGCTTTTTAATTTAATCGGGTCTCATTTATTTATTTTTGTTGTTGTGATTGCCTTTGGGTTCTTCTTCATAAATTATTTTCCTATGCCTAAATCTATAATAGTTTTTGTAAACTTTCTAGAATTTATATAGTTTCATGCCCTAGGTTTAAGTCTGTTATCCATTGTGAATTAATTTTCATGAGTGGTGAGAGGTGTGGATCCTTTTTCAGTCTTCTACATGTAACTATCCAATTTTCCCAGCATGGCTTATTAAATACAGATTCTTTTACCCAGCATATGTTTTGTCTGCTTTGAAAAAGTTCAGATGGCAATATGATAATGGTTTTATTAATATATCTTAGTTCTCTGTTCTGATCCATCATTCAAGGTATCTGTTCTTATTCCAGTACCATGCTGATTTTGTTACTATAGCCTTGAAGTATATCTTGAAGTCTGGTGAATTGATGCTTCCTGATTTGTTCTTTTTGTTCAAGGTTGCTTTGGCTATTCAGGATCTTTTCTGTTTCCATACAAAGCATAGAATTATTTTGTCTAGATATGCAAAAAATGACATTGGTACTTTAATGGGGATTGTATTCAATCTGTAAATCACTTTGGGTAGTATAGACATTTTAACAATGTTGATTCTGCCAATCCATGAGCATGATATGTTTTTCCATTTGTTTATATCCTCTGCAATTTCCTTCCTCAGTGTTTTGTAGTTTTCCCAGTAGAGGTCTTTCACCTCCTTAGTTAAATGTATTCCTAGGTACTTTATTTTCTTTGTTGCTGTTTTGAAAGTTATTGAGACTTTGATTTCATTCTCAGCTTGAATGTCGTTGGTGTAAGGAATGCTACTAATTTGTGTACATTGATTTTGTAGCCTGAGATTTTTCTGAATTTATGTATCAATTCCAGGAGTATCTTGGCAGAATTTTAGTGTTTTTAGATATAAAATCATATCATCAGCAAAGTGTGATAGTTTGACCTCTTTCTCTATTTGAATACACTTGATTTCCTTCTCTCACTTGATTGCTCTTGCTGGGACTTCCAGAAATATGTAGAACATAAGTGAAAACCATGGGCAACCTCATCTACTTCCAGTTCTAAGTAGGAATGCTTTTAGTTTTTCCCTATTTGGTATGATGTTTACTGTGGGTTTGTTATGCATGGCTTTTATAATATTGAGGTATGTTCCATCTATGCCTATTTTCTTAAGAGTTCTTATCATAAAAGGGTGCTGAATTTTGCCAAATTAATTTTCTACACCTATTCTGTATTCTCTAATAGAGAATAAGCCATAAGCCAAAAATTTTGTATACTGCAAAACAAGCTTCATAAATTAAGAAGAAATGAAATATTTCCCAGAGAAGCAAACACTGAAGGAATTTGCCACCAGTAGACCCACCAGTATAAGAAATGCTCTAAAGTGCTCTAAACACCAAAACAAATTGTCAATATGCACCAATGTAAAACTGAAAAGGAAAAATCCACAGCTCCTATAAATCAGTAACTCAAGGGAGAATAAAGAAAACCTATTTAAGAATTAATTATTACTGGAACGGTATTCTCACATATCAATATTAATGTCAAATGTAAATGGAATAAATGCTGCACTTAAAAGATATAGATTGAGAGAATGGACAAAAAAATCACAACCCATATATCTGCTGTCTCCAAGAAACTAATTTATCTTGTAAAGGATGTCATACACTCAAGGTAAAGGGGTGAAATAACATATTCCAATCAAATGGAAACAAAATAAAATCAGACAGGATTAGCTATTCTTATATAAGATAAAACAAACTTTAAATCAAAATCAGCAGAAAAAGAAAAAGATGGTCATTATAAAATGATAAAAGTAACAATTCAAAAATAATATAACAATTATAAATATATATGCACTTAACAGTACAGATTACATTTGTCAAAAAAAAAATACCACTAGACCAAAGCAATGAAATACACAGCAACATAATTGTAGTGGGGGACTTCAATATTCCATTTAAACACCTGGACAGATTATTAATACAGAAAATCAACACAGAAACACTAGCTGTATATGGAATTCTAGAACAAGTAGACTTAAGAGACTTTTACAGAATCTTCCACACAAAATATACAAAACATACATTTTTCTCATCAGCACATGGAACATTTTCCAAGAAAGACCATACATTCCTCTACAAAACAAATCTCAGAAATTTATGAAAAATTCAAAAAATATCATTTATCTTCTCTGGCCACAGTATACTAAAACTAGAAATTAATGTCAAGAGAAACTCTCAAAATTATACAAATACTTGGAAATTATACAATCTGCTGCTGAATGATATCTTGGGCAATGATTACATTAAGATGGAAATAAAACAATCTTTTGAATTGAGTGTCAGTGACAACACAAGCTACCAAAAATCTCTGACATATAGTAAAGGTGGTGCTAAGAGGGAAGTTCAGAGCATTAAATGCCTACGTCAAAAAGCCAGAAAGATCACTAATTAACAACCTAATGCCACACTTTAGAGAACTAGAAAAACAAGAACAAAACTAGCAGAAGATAAGAAATAAGATCAGGCCCCGCCCCGGAAAATAAGGCGGCTCCTGGCGCGCGTTTCCTCTTTCGGCCACGTTAATCCACAGACCCGCCGCCAGGGGCCACATGATCTGTGCACAGAGGAAGGCGCCGGCTCTGTCTTCCGCGCACACGTGAAGC